CAAACAAAAAAAAACCCAACAGACTTCTTAATGACCTATGGGTAACCAAGTGATAACAAAATAAGATATTTGCAAAAACTAATAAAATGGGTTAATTTTCAAAAAGTCTTATTCAGAAAAGAGGAAAGAGAAAAGGGGAAAGAAAGAAAGGAAGGAAGGCACAAATAACAAGAATCAGAAAATAAAATTGAGCTATTACCACATATTCCATGGGTGATGAATTGATAAGAGGTTCATATATATGACTTTCTTCTAATAAATCTGAAATTTGGATGAGAAGGCCATACTTTTTAGAAAGCTAAAGCCAACTAAAAGGACAGGAGAAGCAAAATATCTGAAGAGTCTTACTGAAGAAATCAAACTTGTAGTTAAAAGTCCTCCCCAAACAAACACACAAAACAAAAAAACAAATGTTAGTCCAGATGGCTTTACTAGTTTTCTTTTTCTTTTCTTTTTTTTTTTTTTTGGTATGGGGAATTGAACTCAGGACCTCTCACTTGCCAGGCAGGTGCTATACCACTGAGCTACATCCCAGGTCCCTCATAAGTGAATTCTAACTAATTTTGCTAGCCTTTCACAAATTCTTCTAGATAGTAAAGAGGAAACACTCCTCCATTTCCTTTAAGAATCTAGAAAAATCTTAAAAACTGAAGTTTAATAAGACAACAGAAAAAAAAGAAAAATTTCAGATTGTTTCACTTACAAACCTCGATTCAAAACCTAAAATAAACGCTTAGCAAACTAAATCCAGTAACATGCAACACCATGATTAATAGAAAAAAAAAATGTTTCTCCTTTGAAGCAGCCATCTATCACCGCTTCCAACTACTGAAGGTCTTAGTTTTACTAATGGCAATAAAATGAAATAAAACACCTGCTGGAAGATAGAACCGGTAAGGCTCCTAAGGTCGTGGGCGTAGGCACAGGCTTTGTGAGTGTGGCTGTACAGGACAGAGTTCCGAGAATCAACAGATGGGGTCACATGAAATTAAAAAGATTCTGCACAGCAAACAAAACAACCAACAGAATGAAGATACCCTACTGAATGGGAAAAAACTTTGCAAGATACTCCTAAGACAGAGGACTAATATTGAGAGTAGATAAAGAACTCAAAAAAATCTACCTCCCAATAAAAGTTCCAATCAAACAATAGGCAAGTGAAATGAATAGACACTTCAAAGAAGAGGAAGTACAAATACATGAAGAAATGCCCGACATCACTGGTTATTAGAGAAATGTGCATGAAAACACTGAGATTCCATCATACTCCAGAAAGAATGGATATCACCAAGAAATCAAATAATAACAAGTGCTGGAGAGGCTGTGGGTAAAAAAGATACATCTACACTGCTGGCAGAAATGTCAACTAGTATAATCACTGTGAAAATCACTATGGAGTGTCCTCAAACCATTAAAATAGAAATCCTATTTCTCCTAGCTATTCCCCTTCTAGGTATCTTTCCCAAAGAATTAAAGACATCCTATTATAGTGGTACATGATATCTATATTCATAGAGCTTAGGTCAGAATAGCAAAATCTTGGAAGTAACCTGTATGTCCATCAGCAGATGGCTGGTTAAAGAAAATTATTTATATACAATGCAGCATTACTGTGCTATGAAGAAAGATAAATGAGTAATTGGCAGAAAATACGTGTACCTTGGGAGCTTGACATTAGGTGAAATAAAACAGATAGAAGCTTAACTATTACATGACTTTTCCCATATGAGAAATTCAAACTATAAAAAAGAACAGATAAAACAGATAGTAAAACCTTGTGAGAACAATCTTTTTCAAATGAGAGGGGCCAAGAGACGGAGCAGGGAGGGAGGAGAGCAAGGAGAGGAGAGGGGAGGCAGGGGGTGGAAGAGGAAGAGGCACCGCCCAGACACCGCCTCGCCCACCTGGGGGATGTGGGCACTACACCATTGCAATGCATATCAACAGAATAATTACAAAAGCTTCATCATTTGGAAGAGCAACAGATACAACCATCCTTATGTCTAGTACCTTTATGGGAAGTCTAAACAAGTCTACAGAATTACAGTTGAACACAAAGGTAAAAATTTAAAGTCGGCATATTGCTACATATCAGCAACAAATTTGAAAATAAAAAGTAGCAATTACAACATAAAAATATAAAATACCTTGGAATGAATAAGACAAATAACATGGAAGGCCTCTATACACAAAACGATGAACATTAGTAAGAGAAATCGAGCAATACTATCTAGATAAACCATGTTAATATAGTAGAAGGCTCTTTTTTTTTTAACATTTTCTCCATATTAATCTATAGATTAAATGCAATTCCAGTAAGAATTGCAACATACTTCTCTTCATTTGCTTAACTTCGTTAGTAATCAGGGAAATGGAAATTAAAACGAGGAGGAAACACAGCAAGCAGATGGGCTAAGTATGGAGAGGACAGAGACGGGAATGATCAGATCCCTCTGGTGGGAGTGTAAAGGATTCTACTTTAAAAAATGTTAAAAATACATCCTATGGTCTGGCAATTCCCCCCATGCCCACGTACACACCCATCAGAAATATGTGCTGCACTTATCAGGAGGTAGCAAAGAATCTCCAGACCAGTATCACTCACGCTGGGTCCGGACAGTAGCGTGGATAGTCTGCGGCGAGCTCCTATGATGGTCTAGCACATGGAAATGAGAAGCACTGTGACAGTTACAATAGCCCCGAGGGAGAAAGGCTGGACCCAAAAGGATATTTAGCAGCAAGATGGCATTTCTGTAAATTTCAAGAACCCAAACCAAAACCACAACAAAACAACTAGGCACCAAAGGGTAGTGTCCCAGTGGCAGAACAGGTGGGAAAATGACGAGAAAAGCAAGAACATGGTTGTCATGAAGGAAGACACTGCGGTTAATTTGAGGGGTGAGGAGAGAAATAACAGGTTGGCAAGGCCACAATGGCAGTTTGGGGGTAAATTTTCTTGATTTTATTTTTATTTCTTGATATAGGTGGTACTCTAATAAATGGGTAGTGCCATTTCTGCTTTTTACATTTTTCTAAAACATGCAATGTAGGGTTTTGACGATTTTACTCTCTTCCTTTAAAAGAAAGGGAAGAGTGTGTGTGTGTGTGTGTGTGTGTGTGTGTGTGTGTGTGTAAGCTATAACCTATTCCCTATAACAATGTACTTTAAAATTTTTTAAAAAAGTTTTATATAAATTTTGAAGTTTAAATCTACTACTTCCTATGGAAGGATAAAATCTATTTTCAAAGCTAATTTTAGTGGACAGGGGATATGGCTCAGCGGTGTAAGCACCTGTCTGGCAAGCGCAAGGTCCAGAGTTCAATCCCGGTACCATTAAAAAAAAAAAAAAAAAAAAACAACAAATAGGGGAGAGAGAGAATATCAGATATCAAAGCTAATTTTAAATCAGAGTTGAAAACCAAAAGACTCTCTATCATATCCCTAAATCAGTGATGCACAGAAGACATAGTTTGATGTTTTCATGACAGTTGGAGGAAAAAAACAATTTGTTAAGTTTCAATTAGGATACATCATCACTTATAAAAACTGTCACAAACACACTTGAACACATTTGGTGCGCCGTTACACTAGGCTATTATTCCAGCAGCATCTGTGGGAACACTGGGAACTCGGTTACATTTTTC